CTATTCCAGCATCCAGCGTTGCATCTCAGTTCTCACAAGCCTGAAATTGAATCAATCACAAATCATTCACATATAAACAACATATTCACAATTGAATGGCTGATAAGATAACTGGAAAGCTAAGTCAGATTCAACGTTGAAATTGCAGAATCACTGGCAATGGCAGAATTGAATGGCAGAATCACTGGCAATCAAAATTGAATCATTCACAAAATAACAGAAGCCACAAAATTGAAATCAGACAAGCAGCTCAAAACCGAAATTAGACAAATCACAAAATCCCCAAAACTGAAATTAGATAAATCACAATGAATTCACAAAAGCCACAAACTGAAATTGTACAATGAAACAAAAGCCATAAAACTGATCTTAAGCTACACGCCCATCGCCCACGGCCCACTTACCAGCAGTCAGCAGAACTCCAGAAGAGAGAAGACGCCACGCGGCCACACTAGTCGCAGACCCAGACCCAGACCCAGAGACTACACTACACCACTAGTCCACTACCAGCAGCCCGCAGGAAGCAGTCAATCGTCTACCAGCAGGAAGCAGTCAATCGCAGTCAATCGCGGACGGAACTCGAAACTCGAAAAACGAAATGGAAAACTGATTAGGGAAAGCTTGAAAACGAAGGAAGAAGAGTGGGAGACTGCAAGGCACAGGCGTCGGCTTGAAGTTTAACAAAAGATTGGTGGTAGATTGGAGAGTTGGAGTCAGACTGTTGGAGTTGGAGTCTTGGAGAGTTGAAGGATTTTCAGATTGAGAGCGGCTTCAAGCTGTGAATCGGTAGACTTTAGGTTACAATTGGGCCTCCAAGTTGGGCCTAGTTTGTTATAAAAAAAATGGGCCAAAATTTGAGGCCTCCTCCAGGTTTGGGCCTGAGGCGGCGGCCTCACTTGCCTCGCCTCAGGGCCGGGCCTGATTGTAGACAAGCTCAGTCACATCAGCTGTTCCAGATATCCCATCAATGAGTTCATTTGGGGTGTAAATTGGAAGAGGGACAAAGACATCTGAGAAATCAAACTCGACCTGCTCTGAGGAAACAATATCAGGGGGATTCACAGGTAAGAGTATC